TTATCTTCGCAATAATTGAGGCTTCGAAATACAAAAAAAAGAGCTCTCACGTTCTTTTCAAAGGGTTAAGTCCTCTGAGGCGATTTTTGTCGATTTAGTCGAATTTTATTGGCGATAGAAGCTCGTTAACGCAGTGTTGAGGGTGAATAGCAAAATAGCAATTGAATATCGCATCAAAAAACTTGCGGTGGTATGAACTATACAGATGAGGGGCCCACAGTAGAGACTTCGGAAAAAAATTCGCGTTCTTCTTTTTCCTGCAGTACTTTGTACAAACATGATTACATTAAATAATAACAGAAATCAATATAAAATAATTTGGAGCCAAGGGGCCTCCACCCCTTTGTTGGCCCGAAGCCTCCAGACCTCTAAATCTTGCCCTGAGTGGTGTGACAATTAGGTGCATAAACTTATGGCAACGCTACCCCGAACTGTCCGAGGGTTGACCAGCCGTTTGGGCCCGGGCGGTTTTTATCCTTGCACTTTGGCCGTTGGGTGCGCCCGACCATATCTTACACACCCCGCTTCCTTAGGGTCCGTACACAGGTGGTTCGCGTGAGAAATAACGCACTGTGGCGCATTAGTACCGTATCGGCAACCGGACGCATTAGCAAGTGCAAGTAGCACGCGCAATTAGCCTCATCGCGAGCAGTTCGGAGCGTCGCACGCAGACGTTGGCCAATTTGGACTCGTTCCGTAGCTTGCGAGATCCGTTGATGACAGAATTATCGCGAAATTTCAGTTGCTCCGTTGTAGAGTTTATGAATACAGCCTCGATTATCGCTTGTTGCTGTACAATTGCAATGGCTACTGATTTTATAAATCTGTAGAAATTATTTTTTAAAAAAAGCTGAATACGACAAGCAGTTTTTTGCCGGTTCTTCTATGAAGAGGTCTAAATAAGAGAACCGGTGGTAGAATTTTGACGTTCAATAAGAACTTAAAACAAGCATTTATTGAATTCTTAGACTTTATAGAATCGTCTATTATTACTTTTACTTTTTGCGTAACGTACATTTGACACGCAACTAACAGGAAAGATAATACAATAATAATGAGATAGTGAAAACCATAGTCTCAACTTCAATGTCACGTATGAATGAGTATAAATGCCTTATGATACATTTTTTATATGTATCGTAAGGCATTTACTTTGCTATAATTATAGTCGTCGAGTACTGACAATGGTCAGTTAGGAATAAAAAAATAAATTTTCCCGATTTTATTGGCCAAATTACTTCTGACGGGCATTATTGCAGGACATAGAACGTCAAGAATTTAAATTTAAACGCGACAATGGATAAGAAGTTTGGTTGGATGTGATGAAAATTTAAAAATGTAACAACCGTTCGAATTTCAAATTCGGAACGTCCAATTGCATTTGATCCGCGCCCGCGGGCCGCACGGCCCCCGGCTATCGACCGGGCCGTACGCCGTAGGGAGCGGCCGCTATAAATATTGCGCGAACGCAAAGCGGGGGCAGCAGATGCTAGGCGCGACGGTTACCGTCCCCCTGTTTGTCGAAATTTCCGACATTCACAACACGTGCGTTTACAACACTCACTCTTATCGCCCGCATGAAATCCAGACTGCAGTCATATTTATCTTTCACCGTGCTCACTACGCTCCGACTACGAGTCGAATAAAAACGTTACAGAAAAAAAAAGTGTATCAAGTAACGCCGATGCACGGAAATTAGTCACAACTTTCACTAGGTGCAAAACGTGTCACATTCGGAGTCCTCAATTAGTATTTAATTAATTTATGAATCAAAATTGTTTATTTTCGAAGTATCAGTGTTAATAGTCTATTCGATTCCACTGCTGAGCATAGGCCTCAACTACAGACAGCCAGTAATAAATATACAGACCGGTGTGAAGTGAAAGTTATATACTTCTGCATTTCGTCTGGTGAGGTAGCCGGAGCCCACTTTATTAAAAGATGATAACGCATCTGCAACCCTACGAGTGTTGCAAATGACCATGGACGCGGGCTCCCTTGCCACCTTCTCACATAAAAAAGCAACACAATATTGTTTGGCCACTGCGCTCTGGCCGAGCGTAGGAAAAACTGTAGGGGTGTGAAATGACAGTTAAAAAATCGATACGACCGTTGGCAGTTCTGCGAGGGCGCAGGGACAAAGGGTGACAGCACGAGCCGGCATTACTGCACCCGCGCAACTCATTATGAATTACAAAGCAAGATTTATTGGGGACGATTCCGCTCAGTTCGGATATTGCATTAAATACGCCTCGCGTTCGGATACACGCTAGGGAATTATTATTACACTTATTTTTACAACTTTTCGCTTTAGATGTTACAATTCATAATTTTGTTAGAAGTATAATGCTCGTCTATGAGAGTTTTGGGATTTTTTACATATTAAATTTTTCAAAGAGCTGAACAATGGCCGATTCATGAACAATCTACATTTGTAATCTGAGTGTTTAGTAATGCTGACAAGCTGCATTCGCAACAGTTCTAACGTTTACAAATCGCTAGGAACCCCGCAGATGTCCACCGGCTATGGGAACCCGTACGCGAAAGGAATCGGCGAGTTCAACGACCCTCGAAAAGGTATAATTATGTTCCGTAACACAAAGTCAAAGGGACGTAAGAAATTGGGCGAACCGATTATTCCTTGGACCCCCTACATAGTTTCTACGGTTGGTCAGTTCCAGACAATAAAATCGTGACCCCAAAGTGAGATTTGAGTGCTCTTAGAAATTCGTAGTAAAACACACATCTGCCGTAAAACAACGATCGGATTTCATTGACCTCTAACGTTGCGACCAGAATTTCTTTCCGTCGTGTTTTTAAACAAGCTATAAATATATAAATATTAAAAATTCAAAATAAAAAGTGTTTACAACATAAGATATTATGTTTGGAAAGTTAACATTCGATTATTTATTTCATCTTTATCCAATTAACGTCGTAATAGAAGAACACAAAATCGAATCGCCTTAAGGCATTTTCTCTTAGTCAACCTATGGTGCGGTGAATCTTAAAGGGGCGATAATTAAAATAAAATAACCAAAAATAATAAATAACATCACCATTATGTTGCGATATAAGCTTAATGAAGCGGTCAAGTGGACGATTAACGTAGAGTTGTAACTACGCGTGGGTGCTACAAGACATACGTACAAACGTATTTATATATATTGATTGATAAACAGTTTGATCTTATTGAATTTAGAACAAAGATTTCTATATAGATATAATAGACTGGACTCCCCCGGTTACGATTGTTACTTAAAGATTTTTGTCCTAGATAGATAAGTACTGTCTTATTTGTTGTATCTATTTCTTATGTAGATACAGCAAGCCTCCAATTACTGATGATTGCACTCTATTAATCAAACGACGGTCTTAAGCAATGAGTATAAATCGATTCTGAAATTATTACGTTGATACTCAGAGCACGTTTGAAATGTAAAACGTACGTAAACATTTTATTAGATCTAATAAATTGTGACAATTTGAGTCCGTTTGCAGTTATGTTCGTCACTAAGAGTTAGGTTAAATTAAAACAGTATCGGATTTGTAATCTTTTAGTGGTGTTGACAAACATAGCTTTTGTCGTTTTTCGGAATACTTCTAGTCACGAATATGATATACGTATACGAAATAAAACGCATTCTTTAAATTTAGTTTACGTGTAACGAAGCTCAAATACTCGCGGAATGTTCTCGTACATACGTTGCGTTCTACGCGTTATTTATATTAATATCTATTCTGTATCGTAGTATCACACATGTGCGAACTAAAATGGGCCAAGTGTGGGAGATCTCGCCATTACTCGTTTGTCGCAATATGTATAAACAAACAGAATAAGTAGGTCAAGCTGCGTGAACAGTTTATACCTACATAAAGCAGAAGCAAGGGCTTTTTTGCCTTGGTTGTTTTTTTTAATTAATTTAATTTTCAGTTAAACATCGTGACGCCCTAACGGAAGTCGAATTAGAAAGCGACTAAGAAAGGATTAAGTTTAAATTTTTAATTGTACGCCGCCAAATTATTTAATAACCTATGCGGTCCCTTTATGAACTATTTGTCACCTTGACGGATAAAAAATTTTGCACACTGCCCAATACAAAGGGCGACCTTAAAAGGCGTACGCACTTAAGGTCGAAGGGTTAAATAACAATGTTAAAACAAAAAAAAACCGGCCTTATTATAAAATATTGAGGTTAAGTCACGTGCGTGCGTGATAATTAAGTCAAACAAATTAAAGGTTACTTCAAGACGCGTGTAATTTATTTCTTAAAGAATGGATCAAATGAGGAAATAATATAATTTTATATGAATTATAGATTTATATTTACTTCCAGCGTTCTAAGCTCTAGTGACTTTCTTTTACGGTTTGATTGAACGAAAGTATTATATAAGAAAATTGTTTAGAAAAGGTTAATTATTTTCATAGCCTTAAAAATGTAAAATAACAACAGTTTAAGATATCGCGAAGAGAAAGTATGGTCGGTTCGACTTTATTATCTAAGCGCGCAGTTTTGTTGTTTGTTAGAAAATTTATTTGTAAATGAAATAGGTTTACTTATAAAACAAGTATTACCGTAGGTCAAGTATGACTTCCATAAGTATCCACACGCGACTTGGCATTTAATGCCGATGAAAACACTATTCAGCATATTAATTTGCAGTCAATGTTGTAAATGCATTGTCCGCTAAAAGTCACGACGATCATATCGTAAATTGACCTTGAGTTTATTCCATACTGTTGCCGCGTGAGTATACATATCCTAACTCGTGCAGTTCTCTTACTTCATAAACAACGAATAAAGGCGATACTGGTATGAACTGAAAATGATAACACTTAAACAGTCAATTTGTAGAGTAAATGGCTAAACGATACCGCATAGTGAAATAGAAATGTAACGCATTAGTGAATGTTTATTTTCATTACAGTGGCGGTAATGTTGTTGTTCATTAAATATTATGGGTATAAAAATGTGTCAGAATTGGTGACAACCACTGACCTGTTATTCTTTTTTGCGTTTTGCTGCTCTCCGGACTCGATACCTGCGTCTCTTGTGATGGTGTACTTGGTTTCGGTGCGCTTATGGTTATCGGCGATCTTCTGAGAGCCGCTGGCACTGTTGACGCGGGCACCAGTTGCCATGCGAATCTCTGCGCTCCCGGCAGTGGTTTCTCGTTGGAGAAATCGAAACCCCATCTTTGGCTGTCCAGTTCCAGCTGTCTTGCCAATTCCCTCTCGACGAATCTTCTGTTCTCCTCCCTGTCGGTGCAACCGAAGAGATTCCTCCGGACACCGTCTAGCGCGGTGACGCCGCGCACTCTGAGCGACCTGGTGTCCAAGACCGTTGTCGCCTGCAGGCCCGGTGCCCTCACACTCAAAGCAGACATCTTCGAAACGGAGTCCAATTGCACAGCCGAACACAGGCCGAACGCACTTCCCGATCGCATTCGCGACGCTCTTCGCCTATCACAAACAAGATCAAAACTTCAGTTCTATCTGGTTTAAGCACGCGACAGATTAGGCACTGTGACAATTGTAAGGTTCATCACGGACTTAGTGTAACAGAGGTCTAGCAAGCGTGTAAACAATTCGTATACAATGCGACGTTGTGAGTTCGTGACGTAACGCGACCGCACGAACGGAGCTTGGCAAGCGACTGCGCACGCGTCGTTCTTTCTTCGGGCGCACCGCGCAGCGCTAGCGGAGAGGACGCGACGCGACCGATAGTTTCACTGTTCGCCACGGTGTGGCGCTACTAGCATGTATTTGCCCTATAGGTCTAGTGTTTATATATCATAATTTATAATTTTTTACATAATACTTCTATCATCATTTTTAATTAAAAATTATGATTTGCGAATCCATAGAAATATTTAAGATATTTAGACTTTAATAAAAACTAAAAAATTATATCTTTCATCATAAAGCACAAAAAACTATATTAATTAATATGGATAATATTTATTTTCATTTAAGTACTTAAATTAAAAATATAAGTTGAGCCTATTTTTTCCTATCATCTGTGATTAAAGATGTTAAAGTACATTTTTGGTCACATAAAAAAATGCTAAGCAAGGAAATTTCGAAAAACCCAGATATTTGTTTTTTGTTTATATACATTTTCAATATTTTTCTTGGAAATATATTTTTAACTTCCCAAAATATTGGCATTATCATCATAATGAATAGCAACACCACGGTCGGACTTGTTTACGAAGAACGAAGACGTGTCTAGTTACGTGTGCAGCATACTTTAAATCTACTTATCAGAAATACTACTATCTCACTTACTCCTACCCTTAACCTAGCAGTTAAAACAGGACGGAAGATGTATTTATAGTACTTAATATCGCCGCCATTTTGCCGATGCAAGACTGACTAGATTTGTATGGTACGATTTATACCGATTGTAAAAGTTAAATGTGATACTTCTTCTAATATTTTTTTTAGTTATATACAATTATTATGTTGTAAAACCAATAATTTAACGTTAAAATACTATAAGCGTATTTGTTAATTCTGTCTCGTCGAGACTACAAAAGTATTTGTTAGATATTTTCAATAAATGAACAGTTACACCGGAATAAACTGAAAAGTGATAATCATTTCGCATAGTTAATGACAAAAAATACAGAACATTACTTACCTTTTGATAAATATTGTAAAATTCACGGAAAAATCGTCAATTAACCGTCGGGGTTCACTGCACTGCTGTACTAATTTTCGAGATATGACAATGACGCGATGGCGAGAACGCGGGATCGACGCCCATTGGTGGAAAATGGCGGCCACTCGTTTGATTGGTCGTAGGATTTTAGGCGGCAAATTTCGGTTGGTCGAGGCAGCGGATGGCGCGAAATAAACGTAAGACTTTCCGGTGCGCATGAGCTTTGTTACGGAAAATCCTATTTGGCGCGTTTCGACTTCGCTCATTTTAATTTAACATGTATTTTACTCAAGGTTCGAAAAAATACATTTCTATTTTTTTTTCGTGAAAACTCTACGTAACGTTGAATAATATTGGTACAAATATCTGTATTTTAATGACTTTACATTCTATTTCAATTGTTTAAGTATATTTATTGATAGACAAAGATGCGCAATTAAAGGTATGTTTAATGATTTTGTTTCAATTATCTCTTAGTGTCAATGTCGACTATTCTTTATTAAATTACTAGTTCTGGTAAGCGGTTTCGATGTAATTTGGTTGATGTCCAGTAAGTTTTAGCTGAAGGCGTTAATATTTATGTTCTAGTTTAGTACAAGAAATACAGCAAGGGACTTGAGGAAAGAATCGGAGCCTATAAACTAAATTTATCAAAAAAATTTGTTCGTCATCCGTTGCGCTGTAGAACGAAATAGAACGAAACTAAATAAGAAATGCTAAGAGCATGCATCTCTGAAATATTTTTAAATTATCGATATAGATATAACGGAAGCTTTAGAGTATCGTTAAAGGCGCACGTACAAAAAGTATTTCCGTTCTGAACAGATGTTTTCATTTGTGACAAATGTAATTTTGAAAGAATCCCAAACTTTTTTTACTTATTTTAAAATTTTATATCGTAATATGAAAAACACACGTTTTGAATTCAGAGAGTATATTTTTAATACACATGTAAAGGTACTGTTAACTTTACTATGTAAAAGTAATATCAAATTAACTTTTATTATATTTCAAACAAGAGAAGTATCGAAGTTATTGTTTGAAGTATGTTAGTGATAGTATTACGGAAAATTATAAGTAATGTATAGGTTGTATTTTGTAATTTCAAAAGCTATGCAAAACTTCATCGTTCAATAGATATTATTAAATATGGTAAAAACACTGTAAATTTATTGAATTTTTAAGACAACGATTTTTACAAGCTTTTTCTTGCCGTGGATCGGTGTTGTTAATATAATGAGAAACGCAGACGAAGTGGCGTGCATCAGCTAGTTGGAAATAAACAGGACGCGGGTCGCGAGTTGACAGCCAGCTTTTTTCCATCGACACGAGGCGAGGGCATAACGCGGCGGATGATTGATCTAGAACACATTTCGGCGTTGCCAGTGTAAAAAAACCGTCATCCCGCCACCTGGCAACCGCAGATTACGCGCGTTTCCGATCCCAAATATTTCGTTTTTGTCGCTTCTGAAGCGTCCGCCTTAAACGATATGCAACATGTATTTCGTGGTTGCTTACTAAGTTATAACAAACGCTACACGGTTAACCGAGCAGTCTTATTTACTTTTCATTGTCGTCATCAGCCAGTCATCCACTATATGTCATGCCTTGAACGCTAAAATGAATGACATGGCATTGGCAACCACCCATTACCCGATTCTTTAGATGTCTTAGCTCTACCTAATGCGAAGTATGCAATATGGTCTGGTTCGTAGTTGCCGCTCTAGAACTTTCCTTCTCCATCGGTCATTGCTCATTTATTTAAGTATTTATCTGGTATCAAATTGTAGAATAAAGTTTTTACAAGGCTAAGTCTCTGCACTCAAGATGACACTATAAATGGGAATTTTTATAGATAAATGAACAAAACTCATGGCGATGTGGGATTCGAAACTGCGTGTTATCGTGACGCCCTAACCAACTAATAAATTATGAAAATTTTTAATTCATTTTTAGGGTTCCGTACAAAAGGTTGAAACGGGACCCTTTAATAAGACTCCACTGTCTATCTGTCTGTCCGTCTGTCACCAGGCTGTATCTCATGGACCGTTATAGTTAGCCAGTAGATTTTCAATTTTCTTAGATGATGTATTTCTGTTGCCGCTATAACAACAAATGCTAAAAACAGAATAAAAAATATTTTAGTCGTGCTCCGATACAACAGAAATTATTTTTATAATGTACTTTTATAAGGGTTCCCTACCCTTCGTGCGCGACTCCAACTCGCACTTGGCCAGTTTTTTTGATAGTATCTGTTCGTATACTGATGAATCATGCTATTTTTGGAGACATTATCATGTTTAAATTATTAAAAGTGATAATATTACTTTCATTTCATCACGTGTACTGTTCGCATAAATAGAAATATCTATCTTATCGTAATGTATGCGATACGTATTCTTGGTTTGGATTTGATGCACGGATAGTTCAACAGTTTAATCCTCGTTTCGGACACAAAGCTATTCCTACTCTACCTGTCTACCAAATGAAGATTAAACCACTATCGAGCAGTGGTAGGACTGTGGTAGGGTCCCGCAGCAGCTTTTACTGTTGCACGAATGGGCAGGCTCGTCCGGGGAAGACCATGGCCTGACTGTTTAAATAACATAAATAGTTGCTCGAAGTTTGAATGTAATTTTTCCACGTGTCTTTTATATTTGCGATAACTCGACATAGAAATTGTTTTCTAGAGAAAGTTTAAAAAAAAAAAAATTTGAAGTAATAAGTCAATCCATTACATAAAACATGATGTTAAATATTAAAAATTAAATAAACATTTTCAAGACAAGTGCTGTGAAAGTTTTGAAAAGAATATAATTATAAAACGAATCGTATTCAAATCCGATAACAGTCTCATTATCATTAATGTTAACGTATTTATTTGCTCTAGGAAATTGTACGTATAATCTACAATTTTTTTACAGATGTGATTCGTTTGGTCCTAAAAAAATGCAATTAGTTTCATCTAAAACGTTTAATAAGTAATATAAAATGATGTAAAAACAAGTGCCGTAACTAAATTGGGACCCAATATTCGTGACGAACATTTGAGATTCATCAAAAGCGCGGTTCATCAAGGGTGTAATTAGTGCGTGAAAAAAACCCCCCGAGGGTCAAAGCGTGACGCCTCGTAAGAATTGTATCTTCTATTAATCGATCCTGTCAGGACCTTCGGACCCTGAACACGCTAAGTTCCGTGTGATTTCTGGATACCTCCACATTTTGTACAATCGTGAACGAATGTTGATAAAATAGTTGAACAGAATACAATTGTATAAATCTTTGTCGTCTTATAAATATGCAGAGATCGGCAGTAGTGGATTGTAATTTATTGAAACCGAAATCGAAAATTTTGAAATTACTTATTGCATTTTTATGTATTTGATTTTATGCCATTTTGGCTCATTGAGCGCCGACCTTTTACGGATTTGAATTCATGGGTTTCTCCTCCATTTTGATATTTTAGAACATCTGTTGCTCCTATCGTTTTATTCAGACAAACCCGTATTGCACTTTCAGTTAAACTGCTCACGTTCTGTTATGAATGATTAAGAATGTCATGTAACGTGTTAGCAAACATAATTTACAAATAAATTTCTGATGAAATATATACTAACATTGTTAAAGGAGTTTATTCTTTTGATATAATTTTATTTCGGGTTAAAAAAGATAATATAGCAAAAGATTTCTTTAAAAAATCAATTTTTACTGTTATTCTATTCAAAACTTCGTTCTTAAATGTCCCATCCTCTCATTACCAATCGGCTTTTGTAATAGAATACTATCAAATAACCTAATGCCGTTGAACTAAATGACCCAGTTTATGCGGAAGCGATATTCCGACACGCTCCATCGTCTGTCCGGAGTAACACAGATAATAAATAATTGAATATTACTTCTAATTAAATGCCCGTATTGTAAAAAAACGCTCAGAGTACATTTCATATCATTCTTGGAAAAATGCCTCTGGAAATCGTAATAATAAATGTTTCACCGTTCAGCGCAAAAATTTGCTTCGCAAAATAATAACTATTGAAGTTAACATTATTTAATTAACATACTATTAGGTAATGTCTTTAGTACAAGAGTGTACAAGGACGAAAGGTATGTTCATGCACTGATCGATTTAACCCGAAAGGCGACGGGATGAAGGATCACACAGGAGTGCTAATAAAAAGGTTAGACACGCGCAAGTGCCGGCTGTTTTGGGCCGAATCGAGGCTGGGCCGTGACTTCGATTGATATGTTATGGATAGGGGTTGATTTGAAACGGCTCGCCGTGACGATCACTTTGTAATGACAATGAATATCTGTATATAGTCGTATAGTATCAAATAAAGCGGCTTAGTGGTCGGAACGTTGGACTTTAGGACTGAGGACGTGCGTTCGAATCGTAGCAAGAAAGGTTGTAAAATTTTTCAAGATCTCTGAGTGCGAAAGTTGTTTTGTTGCAGTTGTGATTGACGTACCGTCGCCAGTCAAGTCTTGAAGTAACTGAGCTCATTGTAGTGACAGCTTCGTCTGTCTCCGCTTTCATGGGGCAGGCAGACCTAGCCGTGATATGGTCAAATATATACCTAGAAAATGAACAGCATTGTTGTGACTATGGCTACGATTACAAATTCGTCTCAGAGTCTAACTGCTGACGAGATAAGAAGAATAAACGATGAGAATTCTTTGGGGAACATATCAGTGCCTTACTTTTGTATAAAATATATCATCCTTATTAAAGTGCGTCCTCATATTCTGACTTTCAGTCACAAGTTGGTGATTCGTTGGGTGTTACGTATATATTCTTATGGCGAACCGCACGTTCGCTATAGTTTTTTTTAAGCACACTAGGTGGGGTCGGCACAACACGTGAATTATGTTGCAAACGCTTTTGGCTATGTTTTTACTACCGTCCGCCTGTGTGACGTCAACATTCTTGGGAGCAAACACCCAGATCCGGACCAATTATTCCGCCCCGTGTGGGAATCTAACGCACAACCCCAGTGAAACCTTAGCTTCTAATGCTCTAATTCTCTGCCAAACTCAGCAACTGCACCGCAGTCTTATATTCTCTCGAAAGTAAAAATAAAAGCCGTGTCTAAGTGTATTAGCGAGTGCAATTGTACACACAAATAGTTATTACGGACGCAACGAGGCAATAATACGGAACGTGGCCTCGTAGCCAGGCGGCGGTTGACAGGTGCCAATCTTGTGCGTGGCCCGACCGGGCTTGTGCACACGGGCCGAATTCGTTTTGCAAGCTTCGGGATTTTTA